CCTTGCCGCGAAATTAAGAATTTGTCTGATTTTTAAAGGCAGGCACTCTTAAAGGCCTAACGGCGGTCTTTTCGCTCTGCCTCTATATTCAGTTACGTTACCATGATGCCATCGACTAGTCATATGTTTCACTTGCTTTATTTTACAATCGCACTAGTAATGATGATTTGAAAAGTTCGCACAATTGGAATTTCACAACAAATATCTTTGTTGATTACAAGGGAGTTTTACTTTCCGTTTTTCGGTTACATAACAACTCCTGTCATGGCACACCACGGCTTTTTAGAAAAGCTATCCACCTACAGCTAAAGAAATAAGATCCTTTCCTTTATTTAACTTTGAAGGACAATTGCACTTACTCTTTATCTAAAGAGTTTATTTTCATCTTTTGAGGTATAAATAGATTAGTAACAATAAAAACACCATAATATCAGAAACCTTTACTGATTTTTTGTTGAATATTCTAGTTGAAACAGTGGGAACGAAGTTGGCTCAGAATCGTAGCATTACGATAACCCTTCCTCTCAGCGTTATGAAAGGTTAGACTATCGTAATTGCATAACCCGGGAAAAAATGCTTTCCTCCTCTAGCTGCTGGGAGAGATAGAAGAGAATCAGTATCATAACTTTATCTCTATGTAACACTTTCCTTTTGACTTTGAACACAAAATTCTCAAACACATTAATAATTCATCAAGTTAAAACAAAGAAAATCACAAACGTCAAGGAGGTTTGGATACCCGGTTTTAATTAGCATAGATTTTGACTATTTTTCTTCTCCGTTTACTCCTTAGTTTTTGTTTCGATTGAGAAGATACATCAAACACTCGAGACAGTGTTTCATGAGCTATCCTAACACCCCGAATTTCGTCAAAAATACTGCGCTGCGCGTCATATCTTCAACTCTCTTCTCGGTGTTTGGATATCCCGATGAAACACTGTCTCTCGTGTTTGATATATTACTTAAAAGAAGAAATGTTTCAGATTTCGTATCTCTCCAAAGATGATGTCCCTTCTGTGGAGGTTACATTTTGTGGGAAAACTCGAATTTGTGTGGATCCCGTGGAGCCGATACACCGACAGCATATCATTCCCTTTAGCTTCTGTCGGGAGGTTTTGTTAACCAGAGCGTACACAAATGGGTTGACAGCGGAACTGAACAGTACTAGCACATGAATAACAGCGTATGCGAGTTCACTGTCACTGACAGATGTGAAGAAGTCTAAGTCGTGCGCAAATAGGTCAGGCGCCAAACAGATTCCAAATATGGCAGTGACAGTTACCCCCATCAAAGTGACTCGTTTCCGTACTCTTAGGACGCCCTGTGTGTGTGTGTAGAGAGAGAGAGAGAGAGAGAGAGAGAGAGAGAGAGAGAGAGAGAGA